AAAAATGTAACTCAACAGCAATGACATTCAAATTAGTTCCCCTATCTAATACAAATGAGAATATGCTAGAGATTTTTCTACTGAGTCCACTGATAGACATAGATATTCAAACAAATTATTCTAACCAAATTTTCTGAAATTATCATTCCTTTTCAACTGAAAATTACAATGGAAAATTTGAAATCAACCAAATCTATTCAGTCCATGTAACTTAGAAGCCAGTTTTAGCTGTTATAAAGGGTGGGAAAAGAGTACACCTCCATCACCTGGTAAATAGACATCACGGCTGCTGGTAAAGATTCACAAAACACAAGGAGACAGCACATAGAAATACCTGCTCATATCTACCCAAATGACCACAGTGCTTGATTTTCCTAAATGCAATATACTACTAGGTGTCCAAAAGAACTATAAGACTGAGGTTAATAACTTCCTTGATGTTTCTACACAGATTGTATTTCAGGCATACTAACATATCAAATATAAACATTATTCTGCTTCAATAGCTCTCTTTACTACCTGGATAAAGTTTTAGTTTTGAGTTTCAAGGTGTTCAATATACATTTGACAACAGCTAATTTCTGGATGTTAAACTTTTGGGTTAGATTTAAAAAAAAAAAAGCATGGCTTTGTAAAGAACAGAAAGAAGAGAAAAGGTTAAGGAGAATCTATTTCTTCAGGAAATAAAACTTTTTCAAATGAGAAAATCTCTATCTCTAACAGATACAAGAGAACCTAGTGACTACTCTCCCAAAGAAAATAATCCCATAAGTGTTTTGTGCAAAGCTTTCAAGGTATTTCTCTATCATCTAAACAGATCTGGAATATCATTGCTACGGGAACAGTCCCCACTGTCTTTCCTATAGGTCCATCTATAAGAATAAATCTATTGTCTTGACTTCAAAGCCAAACATACATGGTATGTCATGGTTGAGGTAAATTGGAAAAGTATAATAAAACGCACTTAGAAAAGAATCATGGAAGGGAGGATTTGGGTTTCCACATCCTCTTAGCTTATGCCTCTCCACAAAAATCATTACTTTGTTTGACTTGCCTAGGTGTATCTACCCTACATAATTAGCTTTTCACAGAACCCACTCCAACCATCATACCTCAGCTGAATGAGCCAAAGGAAATCAATGCCCTTGGCAACATGCCATTTGGCAAAGACAATTATTTTCTTAAAGAACTCATCTATAGTGACCTATGACCTGTGTAGAAGTGGGTGTAAACTAGGTTATACAGAGTCTTTGTTTAGGAGCTCAACTAAGAGACACAAAAGGTCTCCTAGTAGAGACCAAAATAAAGTAGTAGCCAGGTAGAATTTAACAGCAATGTTTAAGATTGAACACTGGATTAATGGGAAAGTGTTCTGATAAATCCCCAAGATAAAATAGTCTTCATTTGACTTGATTTGAAATCATTTTTATACTTTGTACCTCAAAAGCATTCACTGCATGTAAAACTGATAGAATCTGATTAAGGCCTTTGGACTCTACCAACATCAGTTACATAGTTTTGATACCATGCTAGAGTTACTCAAGGGCATACTCGGATGGAAACTGGGTGAACAAGGACCTCTGAACTTTTTGCAAACTTCCAGGGGACGTAAAATCATTTTAAAGTTGAAAGGTCGTTTTTCAAAGCAAGTATTAACTAAAATTCTCACCTACAAATATCAATTTCATAGGCTTATCTAACATAATAAAGCACCCCAAACTTGATGGCTTAAAACTGAGATCACTTGTCTCACAATGTTGGAGGATAGGCACCCAAAATCGAGGCAAAGCACACTCCATAGGAAACCTGCAGGGGAAACTCCTTTGTGCCCTCCTAGCTTTTGGTGGTTCCCAGGCAATCTTCAGCATTTCCTGAGTTATAGATACATCAGTCCAGCCTCTTCTTATGGCATTCTTCCTATGCACAAGATTTCACACAACCACATTTTATAAGGACATACGTCCTATGAGATTAGGGACCATTCCATTCCAATATGATCTTAACTAATTACATCACTTGCAACAATGCTATTCCCCAAGGTCACATTGTGATGTTGAGGTATAGAACTTCCTTGTATTTTCTTTGGGGGATTGAAGATACATCTCAACCTTGCACAATCATCAAAGTCCAATACAAAAATCTATTAATTTTCACAACGGAAATATTGTTCATTCATTCATTTAAAAACTCCTTGAGTGCCAGTAGTTCACACTAGTAATACTAGCTACGCAGGAGGATGAGATCTGAGGATCGAAGCCAATCCAGGCAGGAAACATTGAAACTCTTATCTCCAATTAAAACACCAAAAAACTATAGTTCAAGTGATAGAAAGCTAGCGTTGAGCTAAAGAAGCTCAAAGACAGTGCCTTGGCCCTAGGACCAACACAAAACACACACACACACACACACACTCACATACACCCCTGATCTCCTACATATACCAGCACAAAACACACACACACACACACACACACACCCCTGATCTCCTACATATACCAGCACAAAACACACACACACACACACACACACACACACACACACACACACACACACACACACACACACACACACACACACACACACACACACACACACACACACACACACACACACACACACACACACACACACACACACACACACACACACACACCCTGATCTCCTACATATATATCAGCCACTGTGCTGGTGTTATATATACAAAAATCAGTAGTAGTCTGTAGACTACTAATAATCGATCTCAGGTTGTTTATCCTTCTTCAGTAAGTGTCAAAATTAAGTCCCTGACATCTTCCTTTTTAACAGTTCAAAGCTAGTCCAAGCAGCAAAGTCTGTGAGACTCTCATCTCCAATTAACCACCAGAAAACCAGAAGTGGCACTGTGGCTCAAAGCAGTAGAGCGAGAGCAAGAAAACCTCAGGGACAGTGCCTAGACCCTGAGTTCAAGCCCCACAACTAACAAAAAAATAGAAGTTAAATGTGGAGCTGTAGCCATTCAGAGCTAGCCTTGGGGGTGGGGGGTGGGGGTAAGAGGAGAAACAACTCAAGGACACCACCCACCCAGGCCCTGAGTTCAAGCTCCAGGACTGGCATAAAAAAAATTAAAAAGAAAGAAATTCTTAACCATTCATCTTTATAGTCCTATTACAACTGTTCATGCATGTCTAATATTTGTTGAAACATTAATCTACTATCGTTCTCTGTAACACATTTATTTTGTGGGATTTTCTTGCTCATTTCCTAATTTCTTTGTGCAGTTGCCCTTCCCCAACTTTGAATTCCAAGTTCATAATCATCTTTGTTCCTCTAGTACACTCCTCAACCTATAATTTATTGAAAGAGACTATTCATTGGATATCTGTCAGACACTCTATAGTATCTTATATTTTGAAAAAAATCATCCAATTTAATATAGCAGACATACATATCATTTTCATTTCTAAAAATATAATCCAAGCTAGATAGCATCTCTGATGCTTGAAATAGAAATAGTTGAACAAGTCTTTAAGCTTAAAAATAAAATACACTTGTGTTTGCATCTAATCAATCAGAAAATTTAATAAAATCTACAGTGGCCAACAATAACAAACCACTACAATCTAAGCATTTCAGTTATGCAGGGCATTTGAAATCAAAGACTAATTTTATTTAAAACACATGTGACTGAGCCAAGAATAGACCATTTGCAATCAAAATGTTGAATACTGGCCAGGTACCAAGCTGAAATCTGAGGTTTAGGGTTCAAAGCCAGCCTGGAAAGAAGGAAGAGAAGCTGTGGCTCAAGTGGTAAAGTGCTAACCTTGAGTAAAAAAGCTACAGAATAGTTTCTAGGACCTAAGTTCAAGCTCCAGTACAGACAGACAGACAGACAGACAGACAGACAGACACACACACACACACACACACACACACACACACACACACAGAGTATTAATTAAGCAATCAAAGAATAATTGAAGCCACTTGAAAAGACATAGTCCAATATAACTTAAACCTTTACTTTCAAGAAGGCTTCTTAATAAAATCCATTCTCATATAAAACTTATTTTATTAAACTAAATGTTTCCTCCTAGAAAAACTTCACAAATAAAGTTCCTTTAACTCATATCCCTTAAATAGCAAATATAGCCCAACTATATTATTAGAAAAATGAGTGTGTATGTGTTTGTATTATAACAGCCTTTTGCCTAAATAAATGAGACCAATAAAAACGTAAGTTTAGCTGCCTATAGACTGATAGACAATAAAGAGAAGGATGCAATTAACCTTAGAACCAACTGTTTTGATGCTGTCATATATTCTCTATTATAGACTAAAAATATTTCATCTCATCTCTCCTCTATTCTCTCCTACCATTCTCCAATAATAAAGAATTTGCCAAACTTATCCCTGTCAAGATTTAGTTGAGTTCTTCTTTCCTCCTGCAAGCCCAGAAATTTCGATACAGCTGTCTATACTTATTCATGCCATTAACAGTTGTGAACACATGAATAGCCAAACAGAAGTTTCTGGGATATATTATAACCACTGTGACTATTCCAAAGACCTTATTAGTGTGCTTTTATATTTAAATTATAAACTTCAATGTTCTGTGGAAAAATATTAATTCCTATCCTCAGTTCTGATTTTTAAGAAGTTCTAAATTTTTTGAAAATTATCTATCATCAATAGTATTTCATTATAAATTATTTCCAAAGACTCATCTTGTATTATTATGGGCCTCTCCAGTGTCTTGAATGCACAAAATAACCACACAGTAACCATGTATGTTTTCTCATACAGAGCCTATCTTCAGATATATCCAAGACAAATCTAGTTTTGAAGTCAAACACTCAAAGTCCTCACTTCTTGTTATTTTGAAATACATAACACATTATTAACTATAGTCACACTATGGCACAAATATAATACCCTGTTCCCTATGAATAGATACAATAATTGTCAATTAAAAACACAGCTTTAAAAAAAGTTAAGATTGGAAGATAATGTATAGTACTTACCAAACCTGCTATTGGTGTGGACAGTCTATTGATCTTCTTAATGATGCCAGGTTTAAGCTTATTAATCAAACTGAAAGTAAACATGAAATAACATGCAATTATAAAAACATCAATATAATCTTGGTATTCTTTGAAACATTTTCAAAAATTATATGGAATAATGACTGCATCCCCCAATGTGTTATTCTGTGCCACAGCCAAAGAAGACAAAAAAAAAAATCAATCAACTTTGGTACACATAATGCTGAATGGTATCACTGGATCATATACACACACTTCTATACCCAAAGGTATCCTAAAAATTGGCTTTGTAATGCTGGACACCAGTGGCTCACATCTGTAATCCTAGCTTCTCAGGAGGCTGAGATCTAAGTACACAGTTTGAAACAAGTCCAGACAAGAAAGTCCATGAGACTCTTATCTCCAATTAATTACCAAAAAGCCAGAAGCAGAGCTGTGGCTCAAGTGATAGAGCACTAGCATTGAGCAAGAAAGCTCAGAGACAGTGCCTAGGTCCTGAGTTCAAGCCCCAAGACCGGCACACAAAAAAAAAAAAAGCTTCGTAATTATTAAAGAAAGCTCCTATTTAGTTCTGTTTTAAAAGCCAATTTAAGAATTTCTTCAATATAGGTTAGTTTACTTAGGCCTCAGAATACATTTTCCTATTAATAACCTATTTTTAATCAAATAGATCCTTCTTTTAGCTTTGAAATCACATTGTTTTGTCTCATTTAAAGTATGCAAGAAAGCCAGGCACTGCTGGCTCATAACTATAATTCTAGCTACTCAGGAGGCTGAGATCTGAGAATTGTGGTTCAAAGCTGGCCTGGGCAGGAAAGCCTACGGGACTCTTATCTCCAATCTACTAGCAAAAAACTATAAGTAGATCTGTGGCTCAAGTGTGAGGGGCCAACTCTGAGGGAAAAGCTAAGGGACAGCACTCAGACCCTGAGTGTAAGCCCCAGTACTGGCAAAAATTAAGTGAGAAAATTAAATTAAAAAATAAAAGATACAAGGAAACTCATGCAAATAATTAACTAGCTCTTATGAATAACTAGTTCAAGTCCATGAGTGACTGGTTTGTTACCATAGCAGAATGACTAGGCAACAATTAAATGTTCCAAAATTCCTTCAAATTACCTTAAAATCCAATACTAAACAATTTTAATACTAGAGACAATATAAAAGAGTCTATGTCTCTATACTCTAAAGCACTGAAAACTCCGTTTTGACAGTCATACTTAAGAATGTAATTTAGGGCCTGGGAAGATGGCTCAGTGATAGAGTGCTTGCCTCACATGCATGATGCCCTGGGTTCAATTCCTCAGCACCACATAAGCAGAAAAAGCCAGAAGTGGCACTGTGGCTCAAGTGGTAGAGTGCTAGCCTTAAGCTGAAGAGCTCAGGGACAGTACCCAGGCCCAGAGTTCAAGCCCCACGACCAGGGGAGAAGAAGAAAAAAAACAATACAATTTTGTTTCTATATCTAGATTATTATAGATTCATTGTTTTGCTGTTTACTAATACAGTGCCAGGCTCAGTAGTAATTTAATACTCTAATAATGTTTTCCTCTTAACACTAGTTTGGATAATTAATCATTAATCACTAACAGAAAATAGTATCTTGAAACATAATTTTCCTATTCAATAATTCATCAACAAAACAAACAATTCTATAACAGAGCTCCCAAAAGAAAGCAAATGAAAACAAATTAAAAGAACAAAGAGAATCAAACATTCAAGTTTACTTGTTTCCTCTATATAATGTGTAACAGAAAAACATAACTGAAGCTTGTGGAATGTCACTCCTTCAACATTCCAGAGATTTCTATATACACTTGAGCTTGCTAAGAATTAAAAAAGACAAAAGTCTCAATTTAATAGCCCACAGAATGTTGCTCAACAGGATTCAGACTTACAAAACAGTGGATTGTGAAGATATAGTCTGGCAAACAAAAGTTTTTTTTGTTGTTGTTGTTTTTAAAGACTGTTTATCAGAGGCTGGGAAGGTGGCTCAGTGGTAGAGTGCTTGCATGCATGAGGCCCTGGGTTCCATTCCTCAGCACCACATAAGCAGACAAAGCTGGAAGTGATGCTGTGGCTCAAGTGGTACAGCACTAGCCTTGAGCTGAAGAGCTCAGGGATAGCACCCAGGCCCAGAGTTCAGGCCCACAACCGACAAAAAAAAATAAATAAAAGACTGTTTATCAAAGAATTTTTAGTATTAATCATAAAACTATCCTCTCAGCTTTGGGAATAGGGATAAGGTACTGGGGGGATCAAACCCAGGGCCTCATGTAGGCAAGTGAACTATCTATCTCCAAATTGTACTCTCAGGCCCAACCCCTCACTGTTAAACTTCCAACAACTGTAACTCTCATTACTCACTTGTACTTTGGAAGCCATATAGAAAGAAAAGCTTTCTCCCCTTTATGTTTACATTTTTAATCACTAGCTAAGGAGTCAAAAGAGAATGGAGCAGATTGTTAAGAAATGATTATTCCTGCTGGGAAGGTGGCTCAGTGGTAGAGCGCTTGCCTTGCATGCCTGAGGCCCTAGGTTCCATTCCTCAGCACCACATAAGCAAAAAGAAAAAAGCCGGAAGTGGTGCTGTGGCTCAAGTGGTAGAGTGCTAGCCTTGAGCTGAAAAGCTGAGGGACAGTACCCAGTTCAGGCCCCATGACCAGTCCCAAAAAAAAAAAAAAGAAATGATTATTCCTGATAGGCACTGGTGGCTCATGCCTGTAATCCTAGCTATTTAGGAGGCTGAGATCTGAGGATGGCAGTTCAAAGTCAGCCTGGGCAGGAAAGTCCATAAGGTTCTTATCTCCAATTAACCACCAGAAAACCAGAAGTGGTGTTGTGGTTCAAGTGGTAGAGCACTAGCCTTTAGCTGATGAGCTCAGGAGAGCGTTTAGGCCCAGAGTTCAAGCCCCATAACCAAAAAAAAGAAAAAAGAAAGAGAGAGAGAGAGAGAGAGAGGAGAGTAGAAGGGAGGAAGGAAGAGAGGGAGGGAGGGAGGGAGGGAGGGAGGGAGGGAGGAAGGGAGGAAGGAAGGAAGGAAGGAAGGAAGGAAGGAAGGAAGGAAGGAAGGAAGGAAGGATTTTTCCTGCTGGGAAGAGGTGGTTCATGGCCTATAATCCTAGCTATTCAGGGGCTGAGTGAGGATGAGGTGGTTCATGGCCTGTAATCCTAGCTATTCAGGGGCTGAGTGAGGATGGTGGTTCTCAAGACTCTTACCTTCAATTAATCAGCAAAAAGATGGAAAATAGAGGTGTGGCTCAAGTGGCAGAGCACTAGCAAGAGCAAAAGGCCCTGTATTCAAACCCTAATACCAGCACCAAAATGAAGAAGAATGAGGAGGAGGAGGAGAAGGAGGATGAGGAGGAAGAAGAGGAAGAGGAGGAGGAGGAGGAAGAGGAAGTGGGGAGGAAAAAGACATTTCCCTATGAACTAGCTATTTCTGTAAATGTATTAAGGGTGACATTCCTGCACTGCATAGAGGAGAAAACCAATGACAAGCAGTACCTAATAGGCATATAATTCAGGCAGAGTGTAAATCACGAAATTTGCTGCAGCTGTTGACAACTGGCTTGCCAATCACACTTGGAGAGTAACTTTTATTTTTTAAATGTGGGTTTTTTCCCCCAGTGGTCTGCACTAAGCTAATATGAGCTAGGGAAATGTCCATGGCATTCGAAAAGTCTGGCTTATCCTTTTAGCAGAAGAGTGTTGTGAATTCCTGCTGCACCTGTGTCTGCTGTACCTGTGTGAGTCACCGGTGACTTGGGTGAGGTCGTTCATTTTACCTGTTTACGTCACTTATCATATTGGTGTTACAGGGTTAGCAATTGCAGGATTTTTTTTTCATTCAGGCTTAAAGAATGGTTAATAAAACAGGTTCCTCATAATTAAGTCAGCCAGGGGAAAGGCAGGATAAGATAGAAGATAAAGGATATACTAATGACAAATGGCATCTCCCCGCCTCCCCATGAGTTAGCAAACCTCCCTCATTGGCAAGGTTTGTGGGGAGGCTATAACATACAGGTGGCTCAGTGGTAGAGTGCTTGCCTTGCATGCATGAGGCCCTGGGTTCAATTCCTCAGCACCACATAAGCAGAAAAGGCCAGAAGTGGTGCTATGATGCTATGGCTCAAATGGTAGAGTGCAAGCCTTGAGCTGAAGAGCTGAAGGACAGCATCCAGGGCCAGAGTTCAAGCTCTACGACCGACAAAAAAAAAAAAAAGAAACAACATAGACAGTGCATTAGTCTCTCACCACTCGTGAACCCTCCTGTATGTGTGCAAACACGGAAATAACACAAGGAAAAAAGCAGCACTCTAGATTAACACACAAACCACCCTCTAAAAAAGATGAGTCATTAGAGGAAAAGACTGTTTTATTTTGTTACACCAGCCATAGGGTCTAAGCACTAGATAGCTTTGTGGTTAATATTGAACACATAATCACATCATGAATTATGAGCACGTAATTTCATATACAATGAAAGGAAGAACTTTTAAGGCATTTCTTCTAGGGAGGAAAAAAACGGTTTTAGAAAAATCTAAATATACAAATAAAATGAATCTGGGCTCCTGCGGCTCACACCTGTAATCTTAAGTACTCAGGAGGCAGAGATCAGAGGATTATGGTTTGAAGCCAGGCTGGGCAGGAAAGTCTATGAGACTCTTATCTCAACCACCTAAAGGCAGGAAGTAGAGCTGTGGCTCAAGAGATGCTAGCCTTGATCAAAAAGACTCAGGGATGGTACCCAAGCCCTGAGTTCAAGCCTTAGGACTGGCACACAAAAACAACAACAAAAGATGAAATGTTTAAATGTTTAAATGTACTTGAAATAATAGCAGAGTCTCATGTCAAATCATACACAAATGCCATCTATGGAAACACTTGCTTTCACAAAAAATAACTTTGCTCAGAAAGTATTCTTCAACTTGACCTAGTCACTGGCTATAGGCAATAATCAGAACACATAATCTTCCAGATCCCTCCACAGCAGTAACTAGAATTAGTCAAGTGCAAAGCAGAATGTTATTCCTACACCCCCAAGCC